CCCTTAGTGGGCGCCCGAGTGGCAAACCCCGTCGTGGGCGGCCGAGTGCCAAACCCCTTAGTGGGCGCCCGAGTGGCAAACCCCGTCGTGGGCGGTCGAGTGCCAAACCCTTTAGAGGGCGCCCGAGCGGCAAGCCTGAATGGCGCCCGAGTGGCAAGCCTGAATGGCTCAAGTAACCCCGAGTGGGACGTCATACGAGTGGCATGCCTGAACGGCTCCACTGATTGTGAACCCGTCGCGGTTGTTGCCCCAGCGGCAAAGATGATGTGCGAGTGGCGCGCATGTGCCAGGAGGAATTGTGCGCGCAAGACGCGTAGGTCACCCGCGCTGGCCGGCCGGGCGCAGTTGGCGTTGGTTCGTGCGGCGCTCTTGTCCTCGCTCGCGGGCCCGCTCGCACCGCACCCGTCGCGCGCATCGTTTCCGGCACCGTGCGCGCCGTTCTGCCTGGCGCATGATGTTTTGGCATGGACGCGCATTGCGCTCATTTCGTCGCTCGCGTTCTCGCACGCGTCGCACCCGTTGCTCCCGTCCGCGTCTTTCGGTGCTCTCGTTTTGTTTCTGGCCGCATGCATGTCTATGCGTCCGTACTGGCCAATGGTAGGCGGCGCCCGTTCGAAACCGGCTGCTACGACGAAAACCCCTGCGAGGAAAAAGAGGCGAAAGTCCGGGGACAATGCGTTGAGTCCCACTCCAGTTCACGGGGACGCGGATGCTCGAGCGAGGACACAAAGACTTGATAGGAACCGGCGGCGTTCTCTACTTGCATCGTTGAATGAAGAAGAGCTACTTGAGCACCGAAAGAAAGTGAGAGGTGACGTTGATGCGGGTGCCAGGCAGAGAGCAGCTCATAGAGAGAAGGAGCTAGATGGCATGTCCGATGGCGACGAAGATGCGTTCAGAACCGGCGACAGTGCTGGGCGTGCCGCGAGGCGGACGAAGCAGTTTGAAGCGATGGACGACGACGAGAGAGCTAAATTCTTGAAGGGCAAAAGTGCAGAGCGTCGCGGTGATCGGCGAAAGCAGTTTGAAGCGATGGACGACGACGAGAGAGCTACATTCTTGAAGGGCAAGAGTGCAGAGCGCCGCGTTGATCGCGGGGAGCAGTTTGAAGCGATGTCCGAAGAGCAGAGAGCTAAATTCATGGAGGACGAGAGTGCGGATCGGGGCGCGAGGCGGTCGAAGCACTTTGACGCTATGGATGAAGACGAGTACGTAAGGGACGAGAGCGCCAATCGTGACGCGAGGCGGAAGAAGCAAAGGGCTGACATGTCCGAAGAGGAAGAAGAGGAGTACCTGGAAGGCGAGAGATTGAAAAAGGCGGTGCTTCGCGAGGCCCAGAGGACGAAGCTGGAGGCCGATCGTGAGGCTCGCGGCTCTGAGCACCTGGAGCGTCAAACCGGCGAGGAAGCTGAGTGGGTTCGGGTGCAGCAGGAGAGTCGCCAGGTGATTGCCGATGAATGCGCGGCCGATCCTCTTGCCGCTTTTTTGCACGGAACCGCGTTTGGTAAAGTGCCCTGGAATTTTGGCAATGCTGGAGATTCGTACGTCCAACGAAAGGTCGATCAGCTGCAGACCATGCACTCCGCGCATGAACGGCTTATGAGTATAAACGTCAAGCACTGTGTCCAATGCCGCCAACGCCACCCCGATCTTGAGATGCATGCCCAATCTGCGGATCATTGCGTCAGCTGCGCGATCGAGAAGCAAGATGCATCTGCAGTCACCATGTTTTCGTCTGCAAACAAGCTCCAGCTTATGCCGTACGACCGTCCATTTGGTGAACTGTCTGCGCAAACGTCTTCGCGGCTGAATTCTATTTCCCGGGCAACGACATTGTTTCGCAGCCTGCGTCCTATTGAGATTGCCGTTCTTCGACTCGCGATTCCTTGCTTAAGCTTTTGCAGATTCCCCGGCGGCCAGTTTGGTTATCGTGGCCACGTCTGCGCTATCGATTCTACGGGGACTGTGACGCGCTTGGTGCCGGAGCTTCCGCGCTCGTGGGCTGACTGCGGCATGAAGATTATCAAGCGGGAAGGATACGACGTGGAAGTATCCGACGACGCCAAAGCTCGCAAGGTGTTTGTTCGGGATTCCTGCCTGTTCTTGTGCGAGTTCTTTAAAACCGACAGCCATCATTTCAGATATAACGGCGAGCCGGTTGAAGCCATGTCCGATGCCGTTGATGGCGCTTTGCCTCCTGAACTGCCCGTCTTTATCGAAGATATTTACGAGGAGAATGACCTTGTGAAAATGTGCGTGACGTCACACGTCCTCAGCACTTGGGTTCAAGTTAGCACTGGGCCCTTGGCCTCTGCGACGTTGGTGAATCTTCGGAACGACTTCGATGTATCTGCCCAAATCCCCGAACTTGTCGGCTTGATAACCGGCCATGAGCAGAGCGAGGCCGTCGTCGACTCGATTCCCCTCACTCGACTCGCCGAGTTCCTCATTCGAAGGGGCATCGCCTCCGCGCATGATATCGAAGGCGCTGCAGACGCTATGGACGATCCCACACTCGAAGCAGACGAATTGCTGGAGTTGAAAATGCAACGGGAGGTCACGCATTTAGCCGCGATGCTGTGCCGTGAATTCGAGGCTTTGAAGACGAACAAGGATATCATGAACCTAGGCCACTCGTACATTCCTGGCGGATTTCGGCCGATGCAGACGGTTGCCGAAAATCGCAAGGACGAGCTCAAGGGCGTCTT